ATGGCCAATAGGCACATGAAAAGATGTTCAACATCACTAATCATCAGGGAAATGCAAAGCAAAACAACACTAAGATATCACCTCACGCCTATTAGAATGGATACAATCACCAAGACAAACAACAACAAATGTTGGAAAGGATGTGGAGAAACAGGAACCCTCATACACAGCTGGTGGGAATGCAAACTAGTGCAGCCTCTATGGAAAACGGTATGGAGATTCCTCAAAGAATTAAAAATAGAGATGCCCTATGATCCAGCTATCCCACTACTGGGAATCTATCCAACGAACATGAAATCAACAATCCAAAGAGGCTTATGAACCCCTATGTTCATTGCAGCATTATTCACTATAGCCAAGAAGTGAAAGCCACCTAAGTGCCCCTCAACTGACGATTGGATCAAGAAAATGTGGTATATATATATACAATGGAATACTGTTCAGCCATAAAAAAAGACAAAATCGCCCCATTTGCAACAACATGGATGGGCCTGGAGGGTATTATGTTAAGTGAAGTAAAGCCAGAAAGAGAGAGACAAACACTGTATGATCTCACTCTTATGTGGAATATAAACCAACAGAGAAAACTGTATTGTGGTTACCAGGGGCAATGGGGGTGGGGGGTGGGCACAAGGGGTGAAGGGACACATATATATGGTGATGGACAAACAAAAATGTACAACCCAAAATTTCACAATGTTAAAAACTATTAAAACATCAATTAAAAAAATAAATAAAAAATAATAATTCATTTCACAAAATTTTAATCTATACCCAACTTTCCAGTAACACATCCCATGCATAAGATGTATTCCTATATTTTAAGTGCAATTAAACAAGCATCATTTAGTTTCAAGAAGACCTATATTTCTTACCTTTTTGCCAGATAGTAAATCTTCTCCAAGTAAATCATCTTCAAGTTCACTGGGGAGAAAGAGAGACAGGCCAATGTATTACTCCTATTACGCTAGAAAGTTTGTAGATCACTGGGAAATTTATACAGGACTTCAGGGTTTGCGTCCTTTCACGTTAAGTTTGTAATACTTTCCTTTGTTTTTATTAATAATGAAAACGTAATTTCAAATACATAGGAAACTTGTGGTATTAAACATTACCAAACATTACATTAAGTATGGGAAATATACTTAATGGAAACATACCAAACATTAAGTATGGGAGGCTTTGCTATAGGAAGTGGCTCTCACCAGATTTCTAATCTTAGTTTTTTACCTCAATGTAAATTAATTTTACCTTAATTTCTTTGGACCTGTTCAGTAGTCAGTAAAAGACAAAACTACAATAAGTAATAGTGATGCTTTCTCCTACCTTTAAAAATGCATGATGAAATAGGAAAAGATGCCCAATATCATTAACCAGGAAAATTAAAAACCAAAGCCAGTGAGAGAACGTTTGACACTCATCAAACTGCAAAAACTGAAAAAATTAAAAAATGAAAAATCAGTGCTGATGAGGACACACAAGTGAATCATAATAACTACGGGTTATCTCTGTATAAAGCACAGGTCCTCAGTCAACTGCAGTTCTGTCGGCACGTTTATGTTCTGAAACGATCAGGAGCAGGTTTTTTCACAACTAAAACAAAAACCCTCAGCAGCTCAGAAAGCTGAAGATGTGTATGCATTTTTTATTATTATTTTTTGATTGTTGAAGATGGCTACCACTAAATTATGTTCTTAGTGCTGAAGAAACCAATCTCTTAAAAGTAAATGTCTTTAAGGACCAACATCTAGAAGGAAGAAACACAACTAGACTATAATTCTAGGTGCAAATGCCAGTGCAGTTTAACTACACCAATATTCTTATTAGGATTGTTACTCTTTATAGGGGCCCTGGTGATAAATTTCTAGGTTCTATAGGTTTCGAGCACTATTTTACCCTAAAACCATGTTTACCTTTAGTATACTACTTTGCAGAATACCAGGATATCCAGAAATGCACATATGAAGTTATAACAGAAATGTGTTTCTATATAATACCTTTGAGAACTAGAAACAATTCAACAAATCATTTCATTCATGCACTGAATATCTTTTTTGTTTTTTTAAGTTACCCTGCACAAATCTTATACCCTCATTTTATAGATACAGAGAATAAGAATAAGTGATTAAATAATTTGCCCAAGGTCACACAGCAGTGACAGATCCAAGACAAAAAACTTAGCTCGAGAAAAAAAATCTTTCACAGACCTACATGAGTAAGACAGTTATTAGAGAATAACATATAACTCCTAACATTTTCAATCATAAACCATATAATCATCTTTCAAATACAATTTTGGTATCTTCAGCGTTCAATCACCCTCCATGGGTGAGGAAAGAACTGCTATTTAGTCACAATATTTACAATAACCGCATTTGAGAATTTGATTCCAGATGACCAAAAAATAGAAGCAGCCCTTTCAAGACAAGCACCTCTCCAGACCATCACTCTAAGTGACTGAAAATGGAAGGTAATCCCATTTGCCCAGTGGACGCTAACTGAGAAGAACTCATTTAAAACTATAATACGAACAGGTGTTGGTAATTATACAAGCAAAAATTCAGAAAATATCTGTACCTTTTGGTACAGATATTAGTTTTTTGGTGAAAAGACAAGTATATGGAAATAAGAAACCTGTCTTAGATGACTACCTATTTCTTCTAAACAAAAACATTTTTAAAAGAAGATAACTGAAAACCATATCAGTTATAAATGAGCGAAGTGTATAGAGATGGAGAATAGCTGTTTCCATGACTAGCCAAGGCAACAACACAAAAGAAGAAAGCAGGATGGGAGACAGAAGGATTAAGTCCATATGACTACAACTAGCATAAATTGCAGCTCGGGAAATTGCAAACATCCAGTCACTACACTACGTGCCAGGAACCGTTCTAAGCATTTTACCTGTATTAGCTTTTTCGTTGACATAAGCATCTCATCTGGTAGATACTTACATCATCCCCCATTTTTCAAATGTGAAAACAGAGACACTGAGATGTTACATAATTGGCCCAAGGTCACCCAGCTAGAAGTAGCAAAACCGGTAGGAGACTGAGCTGGTCTGGCTCCAGAGCCCAAATCCTAACTACTCTGCACACACTTCACAAACACTAAACATATGATTCTCTATTGTCATCAAAAAGCTGGATCCTTACAAAAGATATAAACAAAGGGAAGAAATTTATAAAATATAGAACACTACCAAAATTACACCATCGCCAAAAACAACAATGAATTAATGGAAGTGACTGGCCCACATCGAGTCTTTTCAGAGAGGTGACTATGAATGCTCCCTGACAACAATGGTAACAGTGTTAGGAAATGAAAGAAGCACCACAATGACGAAGAGGTTTCCTGCATTCAACTGCAGAACTCCCTAAAGATTTCACCAATAATCACTAAGTAAGAACAACCTCTTTGGCAGGTATTTCTTACCAAAGATTAGGGACAATCAGCTCTTTGAAAGTAAGTATATTTTTACTGATAAACAGAAGTATACTGAAAGGCTTTCTCAGGAAACAAGAATTTTGTTGTCAGCCACATGGCCACAGTCTTTCAAAGTCAGAAATGTAAGTGACAACGAACACTGCACTTGAGTCCATCGTCTCTGTGGGCCTTCCCCGCCTCCATGCGGCCCCTCCGGTCTCTGCCGGCTCGGGGCCCTGGAAAGTGTCTCTGGGAAAGGTTCCCACCAGCTCTCCTGGCCTTTGCTTCGGGACAGGCTCAGCCCATGGGAGGCCCCAACAGAATGTCACAAAGCAAGCAGGAGGAGAGACCGCCCCCTCTCTTACACCTGCACAGCTCCAGTAATGCCAGTTCCCACCTGCAGCTCTCCCTGGGCTCTAGGACACCACTGTTCCCCTTCAGACCTCTGCTACCATCTGGAAGCCGCACCAACTCTTACTGCTTCTTTAACCCTGCCATGAGATGATTTTCAGTAAAACCTTTTGTCTCTTTCCTGCCTGGATATAGACTAATACATACTTATCTTTCAAAAAAACTTAAAAACTTGAGGTGTTGGTTCAGCAATGACATCATGTTCTTCCAAATGCACCATTAACGCAACATGCTAGCAAGAGCTGTGCATAACAATTTCCAACTCGCTCCTCTACTTAACTTGCAAATTTCTCCCCTTATTATCCAGTAGACATAAGAGGCTGTTTTTTGCTTTAAAAATATCAAATAAAGAAATACATATGATACAGAAGGAAAAAAAAAAAGAAATACACATGATTCATATGCAAACATGCATTGAAGATGAGTGAAGAAAGGAGGAGCTTGTTCATAAGCAACGCTGGGATGAGTGCTATTCACACCAGGAAAAACAAGAAAAACTAGAACCTTGTCTCAGACCATAACCAAAACTCAATGCATCACAGCAGAAAGCCAACTAATGTCACGACAATCGGAATAAATTCCTACTGAACAAATATTGGGGCAATTCGAACATCAATAAGAATAACAACTACAATGGATTAAAAAACACATGCAATATTTAAATCTATGAGGCCAAAATGGTTCAAAAACAAAACTCACCTCTGGAGGATGCTAAGAAACTGATCCATTATTTTGAAAACTGGTAAATAAAAGTAAAGAATCAAGCACTTATTCTGTACCTCAGAGGAACCAAGTCGTTTACACAAGTATCACAGCTAACAGAAAAAGAAGGAATGACAGAATTAGAATATCACCACTTAGATCATCCAACAGCTGATAACATCACAAAAAGAAGTAAACTAGACACTGTGTAGCTCCTCACAGAGGTACACACACCACCACCTATGTCAGAGCCCCCTAATCCTGCCCAAATTCAAACCTGAATCTGGTCAACCTCTAGATCTAACTGTTAATCTACGGAAAATGCAAGAGATGAAAGAACATACTAAAAACACTTCAGGGGATGCAATCAGAAAAAATTCTACAAGACAAACCACCTTGTTTCTTCAACAAAAACTGCAGGGAACTAAAAAAAGATGTGGGGAGAACCTATAGATGAAACAATACTTAAAAGACATACCAATCAATTACAATATATGGCTCTCATTTACTCTGCAGTTCAAAGTATAAAAGAGCACCCAGACACATCTCCACACTGTGTGTGTGATATACTAATATATCTGTGAGACCATCACGGAAATGGGAACACTAACAAGACATCAATTTGAAGGGATTTCTTTTCGAGATAAGTCTATTGTGGCTACACCTGTAAATCCTTTAGATTTTAGAGAGATACAATCTAAAATATTTTCAGACAAAATGATGCCTGTGATTTGAAGAAAACTGCAGAGATTATAAGTAAAACATGATTGGCTATGTACTGATAACTGAAGCTGAATGATGGTACACTGGGTGCACTGTACTATTCTTTCACATATGCTTGAAATTCTCAGTAAGTTAAAAATCACTCAACTTAATCAACTTCACACAGATTATACATCTAACTGTAAAAAAAAAAGAAACCAAAAAACACTTTAACACTTTCATAAGAACACACAGGACATACCAGAATAAAGGATAGGGAACAATTTCTTAAGGATTAAAAGCAGAAAGCACCCTGACCAACATCACCTGCCTCCTGAAATGATACCCTCAGGAAGGCCACAATGTCTCCACAGAGCATTCCCGCCCAAACGCACAACCTGAATCTAGTCCTGAGGAAACACCAGAGAACCCATAATGAGGGCTAATCTACAAAACAACAGCCTGTCCTCTTCACAAACGTCAGTCATAAAACACAAAGGCTAGAGAATTCTTCCAGATGAAGAAATAGAGAGGAAAAAATGCCACGTGTGACACTGAACTGAATCCTAGACCAGAAAATACGAAACTCATTTTTGGCTATAAAGGACATTATTGGGACAATTGACAAAACTTGAACAACCACCGCGGCGGATCAAAATTGGCCACCCCAAAATGTGTCTCCTTGCCTTCACAGAACAAAAAACTGAAAGAAACTTTGACCTTCTCCCTAACTGCCTAAAAGAATTTAAGACAACAGGCCTGTACCCAGGACAGGCTGTCACCATAGATAACTCTGGGCAGATTGTGAGGGTCCTTGCTGAGCCCATTCTTATCTACTAAACATTTGCTTTTCCATTTCCAGGTGAGCTGCCTTGCTCCCCTTTGAAGTCCCAAACTACTACCCCCAACATCCTCCTTTGTCTTCAGCTGAAGATGATATTTAAACGCAGCTTCAGCCATTCTGGTGAGTTGCTCAGTTTTCCTGGGTTTCTCCCACATATACATGTTATAAAGCTTTCTTTGATTTTCTCCTGTTACTGTCTCATGTGAATTTAATTCACAGCCCAGCCAAAAGGACCTAGAGGGTAGAGGAATTCTCTTCCTTCCCTACACCACTGTAGATTAAAAAATAGAATTACATGTTTGTTAAACTTCCTCATTTTGAAACTTATACAGTGATTATGCAAATGAATGTTCCAGTTCTTGGGATACACAATGAAAAATACACACCGAGGCATTTAGAAGTAAACTGGCACGATGCCTGCAAACTATTGTCAAATGGTGCAGGAAAGAAAAATTTTATGTGTGTGAGTGTGTGAATAATGAGAGAACGATAAAAGAAATATGACAAAAAGCAACTGTGAGTCTGAGAAGGGCACGTAAGAGTTTTTGTCATTCTTGCAACTTTCCTATAAGTCTGAAAATGATTTCCAAATACATTTTTTTCATATTTTAATAAAAAAATAAAAGCCACACAGGAAAAGATTATAAGTCTGACTATATTATTTATAAAAATCTACTTAAAGTCTATTGTTAAAGGGAACACATGCCACAGACTGGGCAGAGATATCTTCAAGCACAAAAAATAAATTTCAGAAAGTATAAAGAATCCCTCAAATCAATATAGAAAAGAAAAACACACATAGATATGAACAGACAACCAACAGAAGAGAAAATCCAAATGATGAATTAAGTACTAAAATATACTTTATATTTTATTCAGCTCCCCATCCTAGTCTTTTAAACAAAAGTAGTTATCAATACTTTCCGAAAGGACCATTTCTTTTATAGGAGACTTTGTTCTAAGCTCTAAGTAATTTTTTTATAGACTGCCTAAGAATCACCGAAGAGTAATCAACTTTATGTAGGCTACAAAAATTACAGAGTTTTGAATGTAGGGTATTATGTAAAACTTCCGGGACATCACAGTTTTCAGACAGCAGTGAGGTATTCTTTTTACAGCTGTAGACCATTGTTCTTTATTCCCATCTATTTACCTTTATTATTAAACTTTCTGACCTCAACTCCAAGGTCATTTTTACATTTTCAACACAGTATTTAAGATAGTAAGAAATGTGTAGAGAATAACCATCATTTGAGAACTCTACTACCCAGATGAAGCCCCCTGTGTCCTCCTCCCAGTACACATCCCTCTAAGCTCTACTCGAGCTCCTCACCGGAAGTCATCACTACACTGAGTTGACACCTATCATTACTGTGGACTTTCTTTATACTTTATGTGTGTGTGTGTGTGTGTTCCTAAACAGATATTTTCATCTTCACTAGTAATCAGAGAAATGCAAATTTAAATTATGGTGAGATACCATTTTACACATATTAAAACGGCAAAAATTTTAAAGTCTGGCCAAATATTGGGTAGGACGTGGAGCAAAAGGCACTCGGGCATACAACTACTCCAACAATAGCTCTGGTGTCCACCAAGTCAATATCATCACTGTATAAAAACACAGAGTGAGGCAAGATGACAAGTGTCCTGCTAGCAGCTGTGTAGACTATCCAGGCTTGGAATAGGAGCCCAGAAAGCCTTTGACCTGCAGCACCCACCCTTGCCCTCACTTCAGCCCAGCAGGGACAGGCCCACTTGGGAAAGAGCATCAGGTAGCCCACACATCGTTTTCCATCAAGATCTCTGCATAGCCAAGGGGTAGAATAAGATAAATTAGCATGAACCCTGACCCATAACCAGGTGTTTCCATACCTGTCCCAATCCTCATCTGCAGCTCTCCTTCTCCAGGACCGCTCTGCACCAGGCTTATCAAACTGGTCAAAGTCGTCATCTGTGAGGGAGAGGCCATAAAAGTCAGTCTTACTAAATTGAAACAGACACAAACAGATATTCAAATACCAAAACAACTTGTTTCTTTTAAGGATTGTTGATATGACATTTTAAAATACAAAAGTTCCATACACAACTATTATAAATGCTTTAGCTATTTTCAATAATCAAAAATTTTTAAGGTACGAAGCTATCCAAAGAAAATCAATTTATTGAACATTATTAGGCATGTAAAATCACTAACAGAACAGAGTGTTTTAAAAATCTTAAATTTTAGGGCCGGCACCGTGGCTTGGCGGTTAAGTGCGCGCGCTTCGCTGCTGGTGGCCCGGGTTCGGATCCCAGGCGCGCACCGACGCACCGCTTCTCCGGCCATGCTGAGGCCGTGTCCCACATACAGCAACTGGAAGGATGTGCAGCTATGACATACAACTATCTACTGGGGCTTTGGGGGGGGAAAACATAAAAAAATAAAAAAAAATCTTAAATTTTAGTAAAATATTTTCTTGGGTTTTTGAGTACATATTTTTACTACAACTACATAAAAGGAAAAAACTGCTGATTTGCTAAAAGTTAAAGAGATTTTTATAATACTTCTTGTATTCTTTACATTTTTCCAAATTAATCATGGAAAACAAAGACGCTATTTAAAAGAAGAATTTTTTTACAGAGACTTGCTAAACAACAGATATATAACATAAACCACATGTATATTTTTTAATTTTCTAGTAGCCACATTTAAAAAGTAAAAAGAAACAGATGGAACTTTAATAGGTGAAATTTTAACAACATATTTTATTTAACCCAGTATATCCAAAATATCATTATAGCATGTAATCAATACAAAAAATAATAAGGTATTTTACATTTTTTCCATACTAAGTGTATATTTCGCACACACAGCCCATCTCATATCTCATCTTTTAATCTATTTTTATTATTAGGAAGGTCAAACAATTGGAATTACAGTTTTTCATCTTAGATACACTTGCAAGCAGAGGCTTGAGAAGCAGCAGCAGACAGATAACCTCCCCAGAGAGTCTACCTAGGGGAGCCAGATAATAAAGCCCCAGGAATTTTTTAAGCCTGGGGCTAGAAATTAACCAACAAAGTTCTAACAAAGTAATACATCAACTCTTACCATGCACTATACCAAACAGAGTACGTGCCTTAAAAAAAAAAAAAAAACCAAGAACCAAAGATATTAAAGAATTAGTATCCTTCAGGAGTTCTACTTCCAGCATGACAGCATGAAGAGCTCCATCAACCCACTCCCTGTGAAAATTATTTTTAATAAAATGACTATTTAAAGTCTCTGGAATCAATTCTAAAGGCATACATCAAATAAAAAACACTTATTCAAGAAATCTACTCAGATTTGTTAAGAACAGCTGCAAGAACCTGTGGTTTTTGAATCTGAAATCACTCTCTCCTCCCAGCTCCCAGCTCAGTGGGGCATCAACTCCACTCCAGATTGGTGAAGCCCAGAAAACAGACCTCTGCGTTCCTCATCCTGTGCCACCTGCCCAGTGCTGAGGGTAAGTTCTGGGTGAGTACAAGTGATAGGTGGGGGCTCCCTTTTTCCATTCAGGCTCCACTTGTGGGACAGACACTACTGGGGCCCAGATTGCCCCTGCCCCAGCTCATGGGGTGGAGATTTCACACCAAGAGAAGTAAGCCAAGAAGACCTTGCGTTAACTGCCCCCACCTCCACCACCCAGGCACTCAGCTCCTAAAGTGAGTGTCACTCAGAGACAAGTACACCGCTGTCCCCACCCACAGCACAGGAGCTGTGGCTTTGAGAGTTTGCCCAAGGGGAAAAGCAAGCATTAGAACAGCAAGCATTAGAAAAGCTCCAAAACTCTCTGAGAGGAACTGACCATTTAGAACAGAGTGCAAAAAAGGTCTAGTCAAAAGGTGCTCTCACAGTGAGGGTTTTGGAGAGGGATCATTGGAAGGAGAATGATAAAAGTCACTGGAGCTAAAAACTGAACTGTAGGCTGCCTAGTATGCCAAAGAGAAATGGCAAGACAGGTAGGAAGGGCCCTAACTCGGGTTAGAACAGGTCTCAAACCCTGACCTCAGACACCATCCAATCAATGAGGCCTGAATTTGATTGGATCCCTCTGTAAAGCAAATCATGTCCCAGGGCATTGTCAAAGGTGTGGCTGGATAAAGAGATAGTCAGAAAGAGCCTTGCCAAACCACCACAATCCCAAGGTGACTGCGGGCATGACAAAGGGTCTCTGTGGCCCCTCAGCAGTGACATCAGAAGCTTCACACTGCCCAGAGTCGGGTGGGAGATGAGAACAGACTTCACTTAAACAAACTAGTCAGTCACCAAACAAGTAAACAACCAAATAACAATAATAAGCCCAGGGGTAGGGAAGAAGGGAGACCAGCACCCAGAGTTGACACAATATATTATCTAAAATGTCCATTTCCAACAAGAAATTACAAGACATGCAAAGAAACAGGAAAATATAACCCATAACCCATGGGGAAAAAAAGCAAGTAACAGAAACTGCCTGTGAGAGGACCAGATGTCAGATTTAAAAGAAAAAGATGAACTGGCCATTATAAATGCATTCAAAGAACTAAATGAAACCATGCTGTGGCAGCGTCCCATATACAAGGTGGAGGAACAAGGAACACTGGTAGAGATGTTAGCTCAGGGACAATCTTCCTCAAGCAAAAAGAGGAAGACTGGCAACAGACGTTAGCTCAGGGCCAATCTTCCTCACCAAAAAAAAAGTTAAACATACACCTAACATATGACCCAGCCATTCCACTCCTATGTTACTACCCAAGAGAAAAGGAAACTTAAGTCCATGAAAAGGCTTGTACACAAATGTTCACAGCTACACTTCTGGTAGAAGCCAAAAACTGGAAAGAACTCAAATGTTTATCAACAGGCAAACAGATAAACAAATTGTAAAATATCCATAAATGCAACTCTACTCAGCAATAAAAGACAATGAAATATTGATACACTCAACAACATGGATGACTTCCAAATAATTATGCTTAGTGAGAGAAGCCAGACAAAAAAAAGAGCACATATTCTCAGATTCCTTTTCATAAAACTGTAGACATGCAACAGTAACAGAATCAGCATTTGCACAGGGACAGCAGGGCAGGCAGGAGCAAGAGGCAGGAATTACAAAGGACGTGAGGACACTTTTGAAGATGATGACACATTCACTACACTGACTGCGGTTGTGGTTTCACAGGTGTATACACGTATCCAAACTTATCAAAGTGCGTGTTTCAAAGATATGCAATTTCCAATTTCCTGTATGTCAATTATACTTTAAAAAAGCTCTTTTTAAAAAAGATAATGTATTAAGAAAAACTTTGGTCAGAGATGACAAACTCAAATGCCTACAGGAACTAGGCAGGGAATATAAATGAGCTAAGCAGGCTGGGTGAGAATATGTCAAATCAGCAGGCTTTTACCTTGTTTATAGACAGGGGTGTTAGTCCACATTACAGAGAATGCAGACCCAGTGAGGGCAGCTTCCAACTTTCAAGGAAAGACAGAAATATGTATTTTTTCCTAATTGTTAAATGTAAGCAACTAATTCAAGTTTTTCCTTAAAAAAGTCTGCAGATCAAACAAAATATGCCTGTGGGCCGATGTCACAAGCAGCCAAGTTATGATTTTTAAGAAAAAGAAGCAGAACCGAAACACCCATTTCTAACGCCTTCTCTTCTACCTCCTGCTCCACTTTCAGTCAATGCCACATACTTGACACTTATTTTCTAAAGGGTCTCTCTGTGTTAGCTTTCCTTACCCCATCAGATTGTATACTTCATGAAAACAAGCAGCATTCCCTATCTATGGAAACATGAACAAAGTCCCAACATTTTATAGGCAAAAAGTTTTGCTCATGGCTTTTTCCACATTAGTACACAGTGAAGGAATTAATACTGAGTCACAATCACCCTTGGCAGATATTACTAATTAATTATAGAACCCAGTTCTGCTAAGGCCAGAAAATCCTTATGCCAAGGCTAGCTAATAATGATCACCTAGAAACCTTGTTAAAAATTATAGTCCTTGGCCCCACTCTGAATCAGATTCGGTGGGCTCTCTTTTTTGTTTTTTAAAGCTTCCCAGTAATTCTGATAGACAGCTAGGGTTGGGAATCCCTGCCCTAGTCGACCACTATCCATCACAGCAGACACTCCAGAAGAAAACTTAACCGCCATCTTGCTACAAAAGAACTTCCTGGAGTGAGTTAAATCCACAAAAGTCAAAATCAGAAGCCAGGATCATGCAAAAATAACTAAAATAAATACTTCTCCAAAGGAGAGACCCTCATAAAACATCCAAGGAAACTGGCTATGAAATCATTCCAAAATAAGGAAGTGCAAGTTAAGCAGAAACTCCAAATAAAACTGAGGTCATGAAACCTGTATCCTTCATTCACGCAACAACTATTTCTTGAGCACCTAATCTATGCCAGGCATTGTTTTAAACACCTGGCATACAAGGGTGACAAGACAACAAAAATCTCTACCCTTTTGTAGGTTGCAATCTAAGGAAGAGACAAACAATAACACCAATAAACAAATAGATAGCTAGATGGACAGAATCTAACTTAAGGTCTTTATTGGAAAAAATAGAGCAGGAGGGTAAAGATGGAAAATGAGGAGAGGGATGGCAGGTGCAAACCCAGCTGACTATGATTTTAAAGACAGGGTAAAATGCATTAAAAATGTACATGGGTTACGTCTTTCAACATTTACTATATTAGAAATTAAAACCAAGGCATTTTAAAATATTTGATTCATTAATTCATGTAAAAGAAACAGTAAACCCATTACATGTTAATGTGACATTTTTAACAAAAACTGCATTTTCAAAAAAGAGAAAGATATTTTTCACAGTTTTGCAAAACTCTTTAACATCTGACTGTGTAGAAGACAGCTGAATTTTTACATCTGCTTCTGCGTTCAATCTCTTGCAATAGAGTCATGTGTCGCTTAAT